TAGGTACCGACAGACATCTAATTTGATCCAGCATATAAAATCAGAACGATGAGTCTCACCTGATCTTAAGTTATTTAATGAAAAAGGTCAAATAGATGATTAACAAGCAAACGTCTAAACAGGTATGGTTAAGCTTTGTCAATGTGAGAAGTTGAGGTTCAAATAGGCAAATGTGTCTGCTGTGATTCACACGTAGCTAAGCAAGTCTTCAGATTACGAATTTATACTGTATAGGTGCTCCTATTAGAATTTTGTTTCAGCATTTTGTTTAGGCAATTTTCATGTCTAGCATATAGAATTGAAATCAGTTCACACCAATTATATCCATAAATCATTGTAATTAGCAATAGATATGAAAGGAGGTAACGGGATTGAGAAGAGAATATTGATTACGAAAGTTCAAAAAGTTGGCGATGAAATCCATGATACCAATGTTGCATGATACCAATGTTACAATAGAACAGCTATTTACCTATATCTCTATCTATTTGTTTATATATCTGCTATTATGTATGTGTAGAATTGCATTTACATAAAATTAATTTTCCAAGGTTTATGTGTCTTAAACTCTGCTGTGGGCTCTGTGGGTATCATGTTTTGGGGGGCATGTTTTATAGAAAGTACTTAAGTTATGTAATTTTATAAAGCTCTGTGATAAAATGTAACATTGAAAAACAAGAAGCAAAAAGGTTTAAACTGCATTTACTAGCATGAGAGGTAGCACAGTCCGACACAAAATAAAGCTCCAAATGGGACATCTTAAAATACATATAGCACCTTCTATTTGATTTCTTCAAGTTGAAATTTTCCTATTTCTTAGGCACCAAAAGAATACCAGGGTACTTGGACTGGTGCACTGCCTGATGGAGACAGCAGGGTTTTGTTATTCATTCATTCTTATTCATTCTTTATTGAGGGGATGGGGAGGAAGGAAGGAGGGAGGGTAGGAGGAGGGAAGGAGAGAGAGAGGGAGGGAGGGAGAGGGAAAGGGAGAGGGAGAGAGAGGGGGGAGGGAGGGAGAGGGAAAGCTCCCTTTTTCCCTCTCAGTAAAATCAAATGTATGATCTATTAAGACAAAATTTTCAGAAATTATTGATAAATTAATTGTAAGAAGTGAGGGAAAAATCAAATAGTGTGTTACCCAAACATGGAGATACAGGATACTCGTTTGTGTCTTGGGAGATTATCATTCTCCAGAATAAAAGTACTGTTGCAGAAAGTGTAAGTTAATATGAACCAAATTCGAGTGTATGTCCAAAGAAATGATGTGTAACTCAGCTTAAGATTTTATGGACATATTCCACCCTAGCCTCAACATTAAAATTTACAGGTCTCAAACCTTGTACACATCACCCCAAAAGCCCAAGCCACTCTCGTAACCACAACCTCCTTATTCACATCCCAAATGTGACCTGTCACATCTCCTAGCAATTGGTATTATTCAGTCCTCTGTTTCTTTGTATCAGACTCAAGAGTCTCATGAGAGTGCCATAAATTATTTCTTTTTTCTCTAATGCAGCCCCTTGTATTAGACAATATAGTGCCTGATTTTGTGTAAAATATTCATATTTTACCCTGCAATGCCCATGGTACCTGTCCTGCCCTCCCCTGCTATGAATAGCCAAGATTAATAGCAGTTTGCAGGGAGTAACATTCAGTGCATGACAAAATACACAAATCATAAAAGGACTGCAACACAGTATACCTTAAGGTATAAGGAAATAGCAAAAGAAACTTTTTATATTTAATATATATAAAAAAATGACAATGTACTTGGGCATTCAACAAATGACAAGGACCCAGAATTGGTATCCTCAAAGAGTTAACATTGCACAGTAATATATATATGTATACTTATATATATATTGAGAACTGTTTGTACATCAAGCTCGCTCTATATTGGACTAAAAAAATAATAAACTAGAAAAAAAAAATTATCTTTTAAAATGTAATAATAATTTATCATCAGCATCTGTCTTCATCTCCTCTAGAAAATATACATAACTGGGACTTCTTTCCTAGACAATAAAACCATCCTACAGTGCGATTATCATCTATTGTAATTCCCTTGCATCTTCAATACATCTGTGTGAACAAACAACAAAAAAGAAAGAATAAATAAATATGAAATAAGGATCTTGGTAGAAAAAGCATAATATCTAGAATGATTATAATAACATAATGACTAATATCTATTGCAGTGGTAAACAATCTTCCTCTGTAGAAGTTGTCTTTTCAAATTGTCCCAGAATCTCCAATTATTATTATTATTTTTTCAATCTTTGAGAATTCACTTCAGATATACAAGTTATATCAAACTACACACACTTCTGCTCACACGTTGGTTCTTATTTTTAGGACTTTTTTCATTACCAGCCCCAACAATTCTACACATTCCCTATATCCCATACTTACAACATACAAGGGACATGTTTGCCTGTCTTGGAATCAAAATTAATGTAGCATTTTCTTTTTTTCTGCATTTTTTCTGTGTCTCTTGTCTTCGATTCCTTATTTTATCACATTCCAAGACACAATCATTTTCCCTCCTCATTACTCAGGACAAACCTTGACGATAACAGAACCGACGTACAGTCACGCACAAACAGAAGACAAGGAGCACACACACAAATAATAGTAAAAAGAATAAGAATAAGAAGACCTTATCACATTGTTATCTCCTTACAAATAGTTTCTCTTCTTTCTAATATTCATTTTTTCCTTTATATTTCGTTTCAGTGTCGACTCGTCTTCACCCTCCATTGGGGGGAAAAAGGTCAGGGAAAGGTAACTTTTGGTTTTGAGAAGAACCCTCGGAGATCAGCGTCTAGAGGGGGCTGGAGGGTTGGGGAGGGCCTGCCGCTTTGTGACTAGACTCTGGATGATGCGGTTCGAGAGGCCCACCACTCCCGAGAACAGCTGTAGAGGGTAACCCCTGCGGATGGAGAAGAAGGCGAGATGTGAGAGCTTATGATGAGACGATGATGGCAATAATGAGAAATATAAGAGAAAAGCAATTTTTCAAATTAAGGTAACATTGGAATGATGGAGGCAAGGAGGAAGGAAGGAGGGAAGAGGGGAAAAAGGGGGAAGGAGGAGGGGGAGGGAGGGAGGAGGAAGGGGGGAGGGAGGGAGAGAGGGGGAAGGAAGGAGGGGAGGGAGGGAGAGACAGAGGGAAAGAAGGAAGGAGGAGGGAGGACAGGGGGAAGGAAGGAAGGAAGGAGGGAAGGGAAGGAGAGAGAGAGGGAGGGAGAGGAGAGGAGAGGGAGAGAGAGAGGAGAGGGAGAGGGAGGGAAAGAGAAAGAGAGAGAAATTCAATTCTTAAATAATTAATTATGACTATGGTTTTATATTGCAACATGAATATTTTAGTCTTGAGAAATATGTCGTCTTGTAATCTCATTACGGATAATGTAATGACAGATGTAAAAAACAATAGCAATAACACTACCCTCTACATACAGCATATTTTTAAACAATGTCCAAACTTACTTGGGGTACAGTACAGGATCTGCTTCATTGGCGCTGATGATAAACACAGGGAAGAGCAGAGCAAACAAGCATCCACTGCAATGGTGGAAAAGAGTGAAGATTTGCAACGGTAATTTTTCATCATTCGAAGCAGTTAATGATATTGTATCTGAGCTCATATTGGTTTTAATGTAGTAAAGTTAAAAATAATACAAAACTATTCACATTACTGATATTGTTACAGTGTCTACTAATACAACATAGTATATTAGTTTAAGAATTATTCTGAGACGAACTAATCCATACATTCTTGATTTACGTAACGGTTGAAAAAAGACCTTATATCTGTATCCAACATGTTATGAAACAATGATCAAAAATCAATAGCTACTAGATAATCATAACCAATTTTCAGCATAAACGTATATAGTCAATATACATAATATAATTTGTACCCTGTATATGATGAATGTTCCGAAGTTAATATATTTAATGAATGATATTCTAATCATCCTATGATATAAACACTGAAAATCATAACTACCTAAGACAGACCATAAAAATAATCATTATGTCAATAAAAACATCCTAATGATTTCTTTAAATATACATATGAAAGTATCCCCCATATGAAAAAATATATATATTTCCTTAGAGTAAAAAGATAAATATAAATGACCCTCTCACCTCACATACACAGACGAAGGGTACATGGTGATGAATGCCAACGGGAGGCCAAAACCCATGAAATACGGCCAGTTCTCCTCCACGAAGCTGTACTCCAAGAAGAGGGAAACGGAGAAGTCATATTAAAATTTAACTGCAGTGAATCAAATCTCATTATCTTATATTGTTGGGAAAGCAAGACTGGATAAACTGGTTCTGAAATATTAATTATTTATCATAATAAGAGTAAAATTTACCTGAGTATACATTTCTGAACCATACTGGTCTGAAGACAAAAAGAACAACAGTGATATACTTTTACAGTTAAAGACAAAAAATCACACCTTATATAAAATTAGACAAAGAAAAGTTCACAGCTCTCCTGGTATCAGACATTAATAAATCATAAGTACAAGTCAAATATCAAAAAACCTATTAATATACTTTTTAAAAATCTGCAACTATTTGTACTTTCCATTTCCTACTGTTTATGACAGGTACTTTAAAACTGAAACACATTTTTGGCTATCAGTTTGTGCATCAAGGAGTGTCACAAAATAATTATTCATGGCCCTTTTTTCTAAAGTATGTCAATATACAAGGAAAAAGAGCAATATAAATTAATAAAAATTATTTAAACTAATAAAAATAGACACATAAACAGCAAAAATGCATGAATGAATAAACCACATGAATGAAAAAGAAATAGAACAGCATAAAATAGAAATCAATCATCTAAATGTTCAGGAAATAAACCAGAAAAAACAATTATAATAATAAATTTCATTAAAACAAACAATAAACATTTTTAAAATATTTATAATAGAAATATGTAAAATAATAATAATAATAACAAATTAATG